AACAACAACAACAACAACAAAAACTTTCGACATTCATTTGGATCAATGCTAAGTAAGGCCTTATTCGTCCAATGAATTCCATAATGTATCTCTTGTAGCTACTCAAACTGCCAGTCTGATCCTGAAAGACTCTACAAAGTACCACTTAGAAGTCTGTGGAGCAGGCCATGAATCCCACAAATCCTACAGGGGACAGCAGTTGCTCTAGATTCCAAGAATTCCACCATTTAGAAGCAGTTGAGTCAACTCTATGTTCAGAAGCCCTTGATAGAGTCAGAGAAATTAAGCAACTTTGCCCAAGGCCACCCAGCTAATAAGTGGAAGAGTCGAATTTGACCTAGTTCTGTCTAACTTGAAATCAAGCTATATTCTTTATGACCACATGGCACACAGTTAGCCCACACGTCGATGCCCTTTTCCCATTTAAAAGTATTGCTTCTTTAGTAGGTAGGGTGTCTTTTTCCTTCCTACTTCTAAGTAATTTTTAGGTATTAGTACCAACTTTTATGTCTGTGCACATGTATGCACATTAGAGTGCAGTGGCTCTATATTATAAGCACTGGACTGCAAATGGCAAGGCCTGGGGTTTGAGCCCACCAGCTGTTCTGTAGGAGAAAGATGAGGCTTTCTATTCCTGCAAAGATTTAAAGCCCCAGGAACTCTATGTAGGCTATGAGCCGGAACTGACTCAAAAACAATTAACAACACCAACATCATGTATGTATGTATGCGTGTTTGAGAGAGTTTTATATAAGAGATGACCACGTCTTTTGTTCGTCAGAATATCCTTTACAGACTGTTAAATAATTCAAAGATAGTATTTTACTTAATACACTTGAATTTACACAGACTTCAATTCAGTTGAATGTTTTAGTTTGTTTTATTAAAAGTTTGAGATTCCGATTCTCCTATCTTGTTGCATACCAGCCTCTTGTCTGTGACTTGGTTTCATTTTCCCCTTTTATCCACCATTGGATAGTTCATTGCCATATATTCTCATTTTCCCGTCCAAATGAGTTGCTTCACTTAATGGAGTCTAAATGACGCCATCTAAATAAATCTAGGAAACTGTACTAGCATTCGTTTTCATACACACACCACCACCAGTTACTATGAGCCCCACTCCAACTCATGGTGACCTCATGTGTGTCAGAGTAGAACTCAGCTCCCTACGATTTTC